GGTGGGGTAAAAATTTATTTTGATAATTTTGATTTTTTTCTTGTTTTTACTCTTTGACTTGATTGAAAAGTTCGTGGATATTTGCAATACTTTAATAATTCTGTTAAAATGAAACGACATCATGGAAAAATACTGTTGAAAATATTCTTTAAAAACTATTTCAAAATTTCTACACCAAAATCAAACAGAAAATTGTTTTCTAAAAGTATGGCTTGCTAATTGATTTAAAACCTTATTTTTAATTTGCTGTTTGGAACTCATGTGTCACTATATTTTGCGTGTCAAGATCTATTACTTAAAGAGCTTCATGGTAACACCCATTTCATATTGACAATCGGAATATACCAACAGATAATTAGCTTATTTTTTTGCAATAACAATGTTTCAATTTTTTTTAAATGAATAGTTAATCAATAAAATATGTAATTTATAAAAAAGCATAAAAACTTTTATGTTTAAAAACTTTTTCAGACTTCAGTAATATTACGTAGTATCTTGTAAATTTTTTATTAAGACTATGATGTAACAGCACATGCAACTTAATTTATAATTTTTTCCATTCATATAAAAAAAAAAAACTAAAAATGTAAAATTTCATGCATGTTGTAAAAAACCTACATAGAGCAATTGAGTCTGTCCTTACACCTACTCCAAGTGAACCTACATTGACAGCATTTGCAAATGCGAAAAAACGTTGAGCACGTGTCCAGGCAAAAAAGGGGAAAATTTTAACTGCAAATAATGTTGTTGTCCTTTTGCCAATTTAAGGAGCTTTTTTTTTTTTAGTTTTAGTATCATCACACCCCCCTCCCCCAAAAAAAATTCGTCACTGATATGGATATATAAGAGATGTTGTTCTAAAAGAAATATTTAGTTCGTATTAGATATTTTAAAACGAGTATTTAGTTATATGTTGTATATTTTAATTGTTGTTTTACACTTCTTGTTTTAAAACAGTAAAATTATATTTCTTTGGTTTGCTTATTATTTTGTCTAAAAAAAAACCTTTTCACTATTTTATTTTATTTTATTCTAATTCACACCCACTGCAAGCAACCACTATTAATTTGGGAGTTACTAGATTTAAAGAGTAACGATTGACAGAAGACTTAACGGGAAAATTAGAAGTTGGTAAAAAGTTTCAAAAAATATGTTTCAAAAAAAAAGTTTCAAAAAATATGTTGCAGAAATAAGATCAGATTCAAGATCGGCAGCCTGTTCCAAGCAATCGAAAAAAGAAGAGTTTTTGTCAAGATTATAAAGTTGAGTTTTCATTTTAGATGTAAGCATGTTAGGAAGATCATAAATATTGATAAAAAACAAAGACCAAGGATAGAAACTTGAGATACCACAGAAACTACTGGAAATGAAGAGTATTTATTTCGAGAATTACTTAAATATAACAGTTAGAAAAAAATAATATTATTATCTCAAAAACTTTTTCAGAAAAGTTTTTTACCATATGAAGCAAGGGGAAAACCCGCATAGTAAGCTTTGTTGAAATCTTTAGATATATCAAAAGCAATAGCCTCACCGTCTCCATTTAATGCACAACAGAATCTTTCAGTCATAGCAGTCAGCAAGTCAGCCGTAGAATGAGAAAATCGAAAATCAAATTGATTGTCTGACAGTAAGTTATTTTAATCAAATTGGATTTAAATTTTTTTTGGATTAAAGACCTTGCTAATAATTTATTGAACGTTAGTTGAAGAGGTCAGAATATTTTCCAGAGTTTTTAAAAATTGGAACCACAAATACCATTTTTCTGTAGGCAGAATAAGTCAAGCACTTAATAAATAGTTTAAAGAGAATTGAAGCAAATTCTGGAGAACAATTTTGTAAAACTATGACAAGAATGTTGTTTGGACCGGAAGCTGGAGTGATTTGAATGTCTAGCAATGGGTTAACCTGTTTAACTGGAATCACAGGAAGAGTATGGGCATAAGATTCGAGAGCCAAATTAGAAGAAAAATTTCTTGTAAATAGTTCTGCCCTATCCTTGGGAGAAAATGATTAGATTAGATTAGAAAGATTTATTGAGAGGTAATAAGATTAGTCCCATGAATGAGAGATGGAGTGTTAAACCTACCTTTGGTAATAACGCTGTTGAAAATTTTCTGAAAATCTCTAGCACCTAACGTCTAAGATTAGATACGAGATTTGGTAAACTGGGAATAATTGAGCTTAGCATCAAACAGCACCTTTTTACATTAATTTCTTGTAATAATAAATAGGCGTTTGTTCTCAAAAAAGTTGTTCTTTTGAAAAATTGAAAAAAATGATTACGAATAGATAGAGCAGCTGTACAAGAAGTTGAAAACCATAAAATAGATTTGGGCTTGACTTAAAACCAAAGCGAAGGAAAAAAAATCTTCCAAACCTGCCTGAATTCTGGAGGTTACGTAGGAGGCGCATTTATTAGATAGTTAATGACCTGTTTTCTAGAAAACTCTAATCACTAAACTTCACTCTTTATTTTGTGTTTTTCTCTGACTCGTGTTCAATTTTCTCGTGTTCAATATGCTTGTGCTCAATTTAGTTTTCTTTTAAGTATTATTTTACAAAACAAAAAATTTAAAGAAATTATACTATGGTATAATTTCTTTAAATTTTTTGTTTTGTAATTCTTCTTTAGACGTATCCTATTATAACAGTACTTACTACTACCATAAGGCAAAGAGGATCCTTTCCGTGATTTTCTTAGTGTAAATCCTTAGACTAATGTCTTTCGTCTCTCTGCTGATAATTGCGCCTCCTACAAAATCTCCTGGATCCAGGCAAGTACAGAAGCTTTTATTCTGTCTAGATAGTTTTAAGTCAAGTCTCATTCTACTTCATGTTTTAACATGTTTTACATGTTAAAAACATGTTAAAACATGTATTGACGTTCGTCTGGTGTCTTTAAAGCCTCAATATCACATTTATTACATAAATGTCACATGTTTTAATCTTCTTGTGCAACTGCTATTTCTAATCTAAT